GAATATTTGGGAGATATTCTGCTCTGTGTACCAAAAAAATGCTTTGCTGTACAAAAAAAAAATTACTATATTCAAGCACTTACTTCAGTGACTAGTAGTCTGAGTAAAATTCACATTACTTCCAGTTCTTAGAATAGCAAGTGAAGGAGAAATGCAGATGTTAAGATCTTTTGATCTGAAGCAAAATGTCAACTCACATGCTTTCAAAGAAATAACATTTCATCCCAAGACTTGCAAAAATGAAGGAAAGGAAGAGGTGATAAAGAAATCTACAGAACAGCGACATTTGAACACAATCAGCTTTAAAACGAAAAGAAATGTGCTTTGGTGGGGCCTCAAATTCGATTTTACCAGGCCTCTTCCATTCACACTCTACTAACAAAACCTGCAATGAAATAGAGGAAGAAGGCAAACACAGAAGCAAATGCCAAGATTTGAATCATAACACCAAAGAACCAATAGAAAAATGCCAGAATGAAAAGAAAGCTAAATGGTTTGAAACTTGCAAGTAGATCTACAAAGGATGAAATTTCACACATTCAGAATTTACAAATATTAGCTCCAGAAAGACTATTCTTAAGACTCAAATGTCTTCCTTTGACCTTCAAGATTTCATCTGTCTTTTTCACTGAGCTGGCATACACCAGAAAGTCAAGCAGACAATTCAATTTATTTACATGCACCCTTCTGCAACACCAAAAAGTCTGTCTGCAGTCTGGTTTTGTAGGTAATACATAAGCACTTCTGTAACAGAAAAGGCTTTGAGTAAGTTCTATGATTCAAGTTAAAAGTCTTGAGCCATTTGCTCACCCTCAATTACTCTAAAAATTCTCTTTTGTACCTGAAATTCTGTTACATCATCCTGCCTTCCTCCTTCAAGTCGCTTTGGTATTTATGCTCTAGAAAGACTTCTGTAGGTACATGGAGATACCATGAAATCTCTCAGAGGTCAACTAAGTTCTCCTGTCAAAGCCCACACTCCCTGAAAAGCAATCAGAGGAGTATTTCCCCAAATTTCTTCTGCTCATTCAGACGACTTGAGGGCTACACAAACCTCCTCCCAGAACCTTACTGCAGGTTATCAAATACTTCAAAGCAACAGGTCTCCACCTTTTGGGTACATATCCGTGCCACATCGGACAACTGCATGGAAGATGAAAGGAATCATCATCCAAGCAGGGGAAAACCCATGACTGGAACAAAGCAAAGAAAATGGTTCCTTTGTCTACCTCCTGTCACTGACAGGTTAAAGTACAAAAGAAAAGAGTCAAGCACAGGGTTTGGGACTGCATAAAGAGCCCATTCATCACATGGTAAGAAGTCACATTCATTTGATTGTGTCAGCTTAACAAAGTCACAGTAGGAGAGATTTCTTTAGGAACTAACACTGCTGGAATTACAAAGGCAGTTAAGACACAGAAAGGCTAGGACAGGAGAAAGGATGCTGTCCCAAAGGCAAGGCAATCCAGGATGCTGCAGGAGGGAAGCACCTGCTGAAAAATGCCTTATCAGCACATAGTGTAAACCAGAAAAAGGAAAAGAGGTTTGAACTGCTGAAGGAACAGAATTATGGAGCTTGCTTGATCCTTTTTTCATCATCGTGCAGACAAATGGTCACTATTTGTCTCCAAGTCACAGAAGGCTCACCACTCACCTGCCACTACACTAATGTCATGTTTAAAGACAGCAAGATGTGTCTCTAGTCCTTGAAACCCGTACTGGGAAGAGGGGATAATCTATGGACATATTTGCACTCTAGGAGAGAATAGAGAGTTATGGAATAAAATACAGACTGAGAGGTTTGGGTATAAAAAGGATATTGATGTTTCACGATTTCTGTCTTCTCAGAGGAATCGTTATGAAATTGGCAGATTAACAGCACTGGTAGAAGGATGCAGCTGTGTTATTATTATTATCTTGAATAAGTATGTTCAATATGGCTAGTAATTCTCTGCTACATGTATCTACTGAATTAATTTACAGAAAGTAGGAACTTTCGTTTTTAGTTCACAGCTATGCAACCTCAAAGGTAGGTGCCAGGATCAAAAGCCTCAGAAAAAAAAAAAACCTCTTAAGACTAAATCTTATTTCTTAATATCATCTTAATTTTCTTAGCAAAAAAACTGCTTTATTACTTATGAGGACCAATATTTTGGCCCATCAAAATCAGAAGTACATAATATACAATTCAAGCTGTGAGGAAGATGGAAATTAATTCTGAACAACATAATGACATGCTTCCATGCCTTCCTTCTTAGAAAAGACTATTAAAATAATTCATCAAAAATTCATCAACTAGTACTGCTTAAAAGCTCAGACTGCTTACTTCTACAAGTGGAGCAGGAAGTGGATATACAAGTAGGGAAAGGAATCTTGTATAGAAGAGTTTGGAGAAGATTTTATGCAAGTACAGAGCAGCAATGATATAAGCAGGAAAATAAACAATGTCATATTATCACAAGATAAAAATACACATACTTTTACACTAATGCCTCAAGTCCTAGCCCAGTACATTTTAGAATACGTATTTATTATGATAAAAGCTTTTCCTAAGTAGTAACATTTAAAAGCATATTAAATGATGATGGTGGTTCTATCATCAAAACACTACACAGCCCTCATCCCCTCTCCTCATCCAACACAGAATTTTTACCATCAACTCCATCGTGGCTGCATTTAGCACCAGAACACTGATGGAGTGGGCACTACTTGAGACCTTTTATAAGGCTATGTTTAGCCTGAGCACTATTGCCACCAGCCAAGAACAATATCCTTATATTACTGTTATCTAAACATGAATCTCTTCCAGACCAGAGGAAAATCAGGCTTTTGAACTTATAAGTCACGCTAATGAACTAATAGGTCTCTCTGCTGAGACAGCTGCACAGAGCCAGAATGCACAGCAAAGCAGAAGAGTGAATCTGAGCTGACATTTGAGCAACAGCTGTGCTGAGGTTTACACGAGGCAGAGGAAGATGTACAGCATGATGTTTTTTCCAGATTATTTGGAACACTGCAGCATATCACATAATAAAGGCCATTTGGCAAGCCAATATTGGTACTTTTGACAGCAAAGTGTTTTGGGATGATCCATTAGAAGCATCAATTATTCAGCCTTTTAAGACAAAAAACCATTTAAAGACATCATACTAACAAACCCCAGAAATCACAGAGGACAGGAATAAAAGGATGAAAAAAAATTGAAAAAAGCAGGAGGCCAAATATGGCAGAGAAAGTGATGCAGATTGAGATAGAACAGTAAGGCCCAAATGGCAAAAACAAGTTTCTGTGACAGCACTTTAGAAGGCCAAGAAAGAGAAAAGAAATCAAACACGAGAAAGCCAAATATTTGTAGGGAGCCAAAACAAAAAACCCACAAACTTTTGTTGTATGGATGAAAGCAAAAAATTAAGAGACAACATGTGCTATTAATGCCTGAAAGAGAGAATGAAGGTATTTCAACCATTTCATTGCCAAAGTGTTAGAATTAAACACTGATTCATCCAGATAGTTCCTGTTCAGCTAAGCAAATGTACAGAAAGAATTAAAGCACATAAGCACTTATGGACATTTTCCTTGAGTATTCCATCCACAGGCTACAGTTAACTCTCATTGTTCAACCAGGAAAGTCAGAGACAAGACAGAAAACAGCCTTCAAAGCAGATGATCCCAAACACAGCAACAGATAAACGTGTAAATTCAAAGTATCTGCTAGCATAACCCAACTTTTCTTTTTCTAACCCATCTTGGCCAAGACTTTGCACCTTAAACACATGCTTCACAACCTTCCACAAAATGGGAAAAGACTCTGAGTGTTTCCCTTATCAGGATACTGAGAAGGTCCTAGAGAAGTTATGGCAGTACAACTGTGAGTGCATTGGCTTGGCTGCCTAGACATGAATACCAGTCCTGACTTCTCATTACAAGAATGCTCGGAACTAAATTCTGTAAGGGCTCCAACTCATCAAGCTGAGAAGGCAAATACCAGTTCTCATGTCAGCTGATCCATGACAGTGGGCCATGCACATACCCAGAACTTGTGGCAAATGCAATTACAGCCACAGCCCAACATACATTAAGTAGCACCAGCATGTTTTTGCTGCTGGCTAAAACCACACAGTTGCTGTGACTGAGCTGATACAGTAAACTCATTAATCCATGATAAATTGGATAGTGAGCCTAAGATGAATGCCTCTTCCACTTAACTATGCTGATATCCATCTGAATATATCCTGAGAGAAGCATTACTTACTGCTCTGGAACTTTCTAACCAGAAGGTACTTTAGTCCAGTGCTTGGACATTGCCTTTGTAGAACACCTAATTAAGCTGTGGACACCTTTCTGCATGTTGTGGCTGCTAAAACTTACAAAGGTTCATGCACCAAAAACTTACTGATATTGCCACAGGCTCAGAAAACCTGCGAGCCACCAACTGCTAAAGATTGGGAGACTATCCTAGGATAGTTACACAAGATGCTTCCCCATGTTTTTGCTCTTCCCTGTGAGTCTGTTACTAGCTACTGGTCCAAGATAGGATGTCATGCACTGTTCAGTCTAATTCCAGCAAGAATGCTTGCAAACAGATTTTTCTATCCTAATCATCAAAAATATACCAATTAGCCAAGGTTCTGATTACATGCAGTAAGAGCCAATACTTCTCTTTTCACTTACAATTAATTGAAAATTACAGAACAAAAATATTTTGTTATGAGCAGCATCTCAGCAGAACACAAAACAGTTACAAGTCCCATTTCTTTGAGGACAAAATAAAAACATAAAAGCTGGTAAAACTAGTTATGCCCAGTTTTGTCACCCAAGTTCCCATAAATTCAACTGAATACTTCTGGAATCTTCCTGGTATTATTACAGTTATTTAGCAGGCATTAAAAGGTTGTAGGCTCTAGGTCCACATTTCCAAAGGTTATTTAAAACACTGAAACATTTATACCAGAACTTTGATTGCCTGTTAAGTTTGCTAGGAAAAGAATCATGAGACTTACATTTTCCTGGTCAGAAGACAGTAGTGGTTCCTCTAGAAGAAGGCTCTGTTGAGAGCTGTCCTCTTCAAAGGCTGCCTGTGTTGTTGCAGTGTCAGACATGTGTCCTTTTCTGAGCCGCAGACCTGGCTCTGGAGAACCAGCATTATCGGGTTCCCTTAGTTCGTTCATGAGATGCTGGAAGCCTTCTCAAATATTCTCTTTCCTCTTGGTTCAGTTTGGCTGATTATGTCTTGGCTCTGCAAGACAAACAGTTTGTGTAACTCAACTGAAGTTAAAAAGAAGAGTGCAAAAGTTGGCTGGAAGGAGAGCTCGCTTGCAAGCTACCAAACAGCTATGACAACTGCTTTTATATGTGCCCAAAATCCCACAGGATCAATTACACAGATTTCTACACTGCTGGATAATGAATTCTCATCCTGAGAGCACTTACAGTTTCATACCCTAACACAAGTTAAACACAACTTTGAAAGATGACCAAAAGTGAGCTTCATAAAACAGTAAACGTACAAAACCAGAGCCAATTTTTATAAATCATTTCTACAAAATTGCAAGCAACAATTAGGCTGTTAATATTATTTAGAAACAAACTATTTCTCACAGGTACTCTATAATTATTGTATCTTTGCAGGTATGAAGCTCATATCCCTAGCTCAGTCATCCAGACTAAGTTTCACCAAAACAAGGACATTAAGTACTGGTAATAGCAATAAAGCAAAGCTCAAGCAGAGCTCAAGTAGCAACTAATTTTAGACAGACTGCAAGGAGAGCACTAGTACACAGAGTGATTATGCTTCCCTTGCTTAAATTAACATGGTCACAATCACTGCCAGGAATGGGTTTGTACCTTTACTTGTGCAAGGAATTAGAGCAGACAAATCTAAACATTGTTCATTCCATCAGAGCAAGCAGAAACAGGTAAATCCCCCAGAAAACAATAACCCATGATTTCTACTCAGAAAAGTAACTGCATTTTAGACTCACAACACTACAAAAAGGACTCAGGGTAAATTTAACTCAAAATGATAAAGATTTGATCAAACGTACAGAAAATTGATGACAGCTGTAAATCTGAGCCCTCATCAAGAGTATTATTGATTACCCATTTGTTTTGTGAGGTGTCACTTCGGCAGCCAGTTCAGAGAGACCTGTTTGACACTGGCAGCCTTGGGAGGCACAACCTTCAGAGAACTTTGCAGTCTGAGTGCCAGAAAGCATCAGAATGTATTATGAGAACGAAGGCACAGCTGAGGCTTCAGAATCACTCTGAATGACAATCTATTCGTTTTGCACTAATCACCTGGTGTCATTCTTATTACTGCAGCACCTAAGTGCCCTGATGTGACTAACACACAACATTAAGTCAACCCATCTAACAAGTTTTAACTTGCCAGTATGCATAATTAAATTGGAATTTTAGTGCCCAATAAAAGATGCTGAAATTTTTCATAATGTAGGAGGGAAAATTAAAAATATAAGATGGGGAATTGATATTGGCAGTTTTGTAATAAAATATCACCTCCAAAAAGCCAATAAATAACGTATTCTGTCCTTACAGGAACTCATTTAATTTACATATGATCACTGCAAGGTAATTCTCAGCTCTGACAAATAGGCTATAGTTAATTTTGCTGCAGCAGTTTGTAATATTATATCCCCTCAGCTACCTGGCAATCCTCACAGGAGAGAGCAGCTAATGAGCCAGTAAGAGATTCTGCAGAAATAAATGATACCTCAAGTTGTCCAGAGTTCAGTATGGCACACTGCTTTAATCACCCAGGATGGTAAGGTGACAATGTGACAGTAGAGCAGGTGGCATCCCCACCTTCCTGCTACCTCCACTACAGGGTCAGAAACCTCCATCTGAGAAGCAACATCTAAAACAGCCACAGCTGTTTACTTGGTAAACACAAGAGCCACAGGAGAATTCAGAGGAAGTTTAACAACATTACATAGGAAGCTCAGTGAAAAAGTTGAGCAAGTAGATTTTAAGAGCAGGAACAAATATGCAGAAAGCCACAGAACTGAAATCTTAACTGGTTTTGTCATATTTCAAGCAGCCCAATCACAATTCTATTTTTATGCAAGAAACATGAAGACATAATCACACTGCCATTTTGCCAAACTGATGTACGAAAGAAAAAAGTAAGCAACAACAACTACAGTTTGAAATGAAGCTAATGGATGTCTTAATTTAAAAAGCAATCTATAAGAGACAATTTCAGTACAGTATTATGCTGGTTTTGGATGGATAGCTGAATACCTGACTGCCCATAGGAAGTGGTGAATTAATTCCTTGGTTTGCTTTGCTTGTATCCACAACTTTTGCTTTACTTATTGAACTGTCCTTATCTGAACCCACACGTTCTCTCTTTTATGATTCTCTTTCCCATCCCACTGGGGCAGAGTGAGCAAGCAGCTGTGTGGGGCTTAGTTGCCTGCTGGGGTTAGACCACAACAAGTACAATGAACCAATTTGAAGATGTAGCTAAAATCAGAAAAATGCAAGTAAGCAGAGCAGCTGCTTTACAAACAACAGTTACACACAGGGACACCCCCCTGCCTGCTATTCCACACATTTCAAACAGGTAGTCAGTACAAACAGGCCTAGTTAGTTCCCCAGATTGGGCAATTTCATGAGACGTTTAACCAGCAAGTTTTACTGGTTCTTCTTTCAGCCAGATTTAAGCAATAGCATTGCCACTGTGTGCTGCATTGCCACTGATATTGCCTAATGCCTGTCCTTACATCACCTCTGTGACATTGTGGGAGCAATGCTCTGGGACACGGTACAGCCACACAACAGGCTGAACCACACTTGGCCAAGATGCTTGCAAAAGGCTCTTCTAATACAAGAGACAGGAATGCCAAGAGATTTTTACATCGGGCCTTGAGGATTTACTTCACCAGCAGTTGCTGCCAAGCACTCACTAAGGTTAAAAATAAAAGATGCATTTCACCTCCAGCAAGTGAGATTTGCATTCAGCAGTAAAGCTGATCTTCAGAGCTCTGCAGAAACAGAAGTTGTTGTTTCTTGAAATAACAGGGGGATTATTCAGTGAACTAAGATGCTTCCATGTCATTCATGCATGATCTTCACAGTGCTAAATATGCTTGCCCAAAAATGAACATGCAAAGGTAAGCAAGATAAAAGCTAATCCAAAAGCATCACTACTGGGTTTTACTTCTTTTTAAAAATGTACTACTGACTGAATGCAAATGAAAAGTGCCAACACTTAAGTGTAAATAGCCTGAAATATTTGTTGACAAGTGAAAGAAAGCAGTGAAGATTGTGAACAGGAAAGGCATAGATGGTCCTTAAGTTCTATCATAAAGTTTCTATGACTCACAGTTCAGTGAAGGAGGACCTTTTCCTAAGAAATCAGGAAATCTAAATATGGTCAGTAGCATCTAACCAGAAGATGACGGTTGAACATTGTGAGCATACTTACTGCCCCATTCTGTCTAAGACTGCACAGCTCACAAAAACAAAAACTAGAAAATGGAAAGTTATACAACACTTGAGGTCTTGGAAAATATTGTTTTGTGTCTCATTGAGATTATAAATCTCATAAATGAAGTCCTTTAACATTTTTTGTAGCATGCAAATTAAAGGGTTCATTAAAATTAGCTTCCATTTAAAGAGGAAGTTGCTATTATGACTTAAAATCTACTTAATGATTGCATACATAATATCAGCATGTAGATGAATCAGTGAGTTCCTGCTGTGCTTAAAATAAGCTGAGAAAAGCATCTACAGAGTTTGGTCTGTTGGGTTTTTTAATACAGAAAACTCCTAAATGCTCTGTCAGCTTTTAGAAAGGATTTAGCAGTTTAATGCAAGCAGGGCTCTAAACACAGCCTATAAACACAAAATGAGGTTTTAGTCAATTCAGTGTGCTGCTGCCTTGTCACACACTCCTAGAGCAGCCTCAGCTGCTCCCTGCACCCTGGTTCAGCAGCAGCCAACCTCACAGGAAGCTCAGGAAGAAGCTGAGCAAATAGATTTTAGGAGCAGGAACAAATATTCAGAATATTTGACAGAAATAAAATCTTGACTGCCCACAGGAGGACAGTCAGTGCCAGTTTGTGGCTCAGCCCTGCCATCTTTCCAAGCAGAACTAGAAGGCAGTATTATTTCAGCATTCACTGCAGTTGTGCAATGTCACAGGAGTCAACATCCACAACTACAGCACATTTAAAACACTGCTTCACTCCTAAAGATGATAAGCAAAGACTAGTTAAACAAACTTAATCACCACGGGATAATGCCATTGTTCTCTGTATGACACTCCATAGGATAAGCACTGCAGCCCTTCTAACCTCCCAGAACTCATCTGGCACAAGGACTGATTTACTGCCTAGGATAAATGACACATGGCAATAAAACAAAGAAAACACATTAAGGATAGTGTTTGTAATTAAATTTAAAAGACCTGTCACTCCCTTTTGAAGATAAAACAGTCCTGGATGGTCAGAGTACCTCCCACTACCCCTAAACAAAGCAATCTCTCCAGTACTCCACTCTTGTCAGTATGTTCATTCCTGTAAGCAGCATGAGAATGATCCTCAAAAGGCATTTAGTTCTGTCTGGAGCTGTTATTTGGAAGCAGAATGAAAATTGCTTTCCCCTACAATCCCCTCTCAATTGCCTTACTGGCAGAAACTTTGCTGTTCAGGTAGGCAGTGGCATCCACTGTATGCCCTTTCCTTGCTGATCCTCCCCCAGAGCATCCATTAAAGCAGCACAAACAGTGTATACACAGTGGATGATTCCTCCTAAGATTAGCTCGTTTCCCCTAACAGACCTTAAGTTATCAAAAGAACAAAAGACCATCATGAAAATTTCAGGCTACACATTTCTCAGAACATTCATTAATGCTTAATGTTTAATGAAGGGCTCGAGTGCCCAAAAAAATCTTGTAAGAGATGCTGCATCGATCTACAAACTGCCTTGCCTGTGTCCATGTGCCATGACAGTGGCAAAGCTGATTGAACAATAAGACTTCATCAAATCCCGAGCTGTTTAGGCAAGCTCTCAGTAACAGAATAGGCAAAATTCCCTTCCCAGGACTGCCAGCACAGGTACAAATGGCAGAGCACTTCCACTACAACCCATGGACAGACTGACTGGGAAAAGAACACAGCCTATATAGGGTGATGGGGAATTTTGTGCCTATGAAACAGTTGATTTTGGCTACCTTGAGTGAAATAAAGTATACTTATTGAAATGCAGTTT